AAATGTCAAGATGTTCACTTCTGCAGGTACAATCAAAAAGAGTATTACTAAACAAAGAATGACTACACAATTCTGAGCTGCAGAGGAATCTATGTGGTACAGTGCATGAGTCATAAGAAGTTAGTATACAAATACAGCAAATAATTAAGCAGGCTATGTAAAAATATTTTATTATGAGGATTTGAACATAAAATTAAGGATGTAATGCTTCAGATGTACAGGAAATTGGTATGATCACATCTCAAATACGGTGTGCAACTTTGTCTCCTTATTTAAAGGAGAATGCAAATGCACTGACAACAATTCAGACAAGGCTCACTAGATTGATAGCTGGAATGAGCGAACTGTCTCATAAGGAACAGTTAGACAGGCCAGAGATAGTAGGAACTGCAGATGCTGGAGAATCTGAGATAACAAGGTGTAGAGCTGGATGAACACAGCAGGCCAAGTAGCATCAGAGTTAGACAGGCCAAACCTGTTTCCACTGGAGTTTAGAGAAGTGAGGGATGATTTAATTGAAATGCATATGATCTGGAGTCGTTTTGACAAGCTGGATTGTGGAAAGAATGTTTCATCTTGTGGGTGGGTCCAGAAGTAGGGAGCATTATTTTAAAATTAGAAATCACCCTTTTAGGAGAGAAATGAGGGTTTTATTTCCTATCAGAGGGTTATGTTACTTTGGAACTCTGTCTCAGATGACGAATGTAGATTGATTCCCTTGTCTATCATGAACCAAAGGTTATTCAGGGAAGAGGGGAATTTAAAACACAAACAGATCAGACATGATCTTATTCAATAACAGAGCAAGATCAAGGGGCTAAATGGCCTCATGCTGCTCTTAAATCATACGTTTGACTTACGCAAAGTGATGCAAGAAACTAAGCAAAACAAGATTTAATGGTTATTGACAGGCCCCTCTAAAATTCAGATACTTATGGAAAGTTTGATACCAATTGCATTCAATTGACTACGATTGTCTAGCTATGATCAGTCTCAAATAAGCAGGCAAAGGGGAGCATTGTAAAAAATTAGGCTTAAAATAATTCAAGACTCGAAAACATTCTTTACAGGAATATAAATTGTAGGCTGTTTCAGGGCTTTATGTGAAACAATTGTCATGTTAATAAGTAGTTGTCTCTGAACTTTTACTACTGACTTGGGAAGTGGACAATACTGTAAATGTTACCTTTCAATAACTATCATTTTTATTGCCAATGGTTGCAGTGATATTAATTGGCTAAGACAAATTTAAAATATCCCTTTCTAGTCTAGCAATAATATTTCAAAATGAATAAAGTACAATGTCATATTATCTAGAATTATAGCTAAGACTCACTTAATATTTAAGGACTGAGTACTACTTCTATAGTAGGAAGAAAATTTGCAAATTTTAGTCCTAACAATTTCTCTTGAAGTGTTAATTGAGGAATGTGTCCAATGTTACCAAACTCTGATAAATTCCATTAAGTCAATATGCAATGGAAGCTTGCAAGTGTATATGGCCAGCGAATATCAATATTTTGGTATTCCTCTATTACATTTGGATAATTTCAAAAAAATCTGCAAGCCATTTGCATCTTAAAAATACATTCCAACAAAATAGTCTACCACCAAAGATTCTCAAAAGGAATTTATTAGGATTGTGAAAATACAACAAAAAATATTTCTAAAACTTCTAAAATTAACTTTATTTCTGACAATTAAAAATTAAATCAGCACCATGCTTAATTGATATTAAATGGCAGTAAATCAGTCAAATATTTTAGGTAAAAGTTTTGAAACAGACTGGAAAGATAATAATGGTATCACATTTTGACACTTAGCAAGTTTTACAAACTGAGACTTTAAACTTAAAGCAAAGAAACTTACTAGCATACTATTTTTGGTTTCCTTTTAATTGATTCCTACTCACATACTGTAAACAGTAAATTAATTCCAAATTTGATTCCTTGCCAAAAATGCATTCCTTATGCACAATCAATTTTCTTTGATAATAAAAGTGCCTTGCTTTAAAGAAGTTGGTGAAGGTTGGAATTTACCAATTTAAAATTAAGAAGTTAAACTCATGTACAGTCAGGCTTGCAGGGAAAAATGAAAGAAATTAAAAGTACAAATATTTAAAAATATGACTTATTGCACGCCACTCATCTATTAAATTTAGTCACAACACCTTTTAAATCTGTGGCACCTTACAAAATGATGGCTATTAATGCAGCAGGCTTCTACTCAACTTTAATGCACAATTCAGGCCAACTCTAACCACTTGGCTACAAGTCAAATAAACTGCAAAATTCAGAATTGTATTTTTAAACAAATAATCCTACTCTAAAATTCTGCACAGATTTAAATATTAGAAAATAGTTTTGTGGATTATTTTTGAGCCATATTAATTGTCACTGCTTGTATGAAAATAGCCACATTTTAGGTTCTTGATCATTGAGAATATGGTGGGCTTCAGAAGAGGCAGAATGGCTTTCAGTAAATATCATTAAAGCCAGTATCACTATTCTGATTAAAGCCAATGTATCTTCGAACTGCTGCACTGCAAAGCCGCTGGCACTTGAAGCAAACTGGCAAGCACACAAATTCAAAATCACATACAATATATGAGTGGAGGTGGGGCAGGGTATAGGTCACTACTTGAAACAAGGGCTGCTACAACAATTGTTATATAGTCTGTAAATCATTAAATAATGTACTTCCATGAAATAAGTCATCTATGATTGGATTCATATGAACGTATATTTTATAACTCTGCTTATTAATTTGTTTTACATTCTTCGTCAAAATCAAGTAAAACTACATATGATTGCATTTACCGATCTTGTCCTGCTGTAATTTTATTTTCAAATTAATTCTCCATCTCCATAAAGTCTGTTACAGTGCAAGCTGGATTACTTTATCCCAGCTTGGCAATAGTAAATCAGATTCTGCATGACTTGTTAATACCAAATATGGGGATTGGATTGGAGTGGACTGGGAAGCCATCAGAAATTTTGGAAGGCTGATCAAAATTTGGGTTCCAAAGCAATTGCCTATTCTATACATTGGATTTATTAACAACAAATTTTACAGGAAACTTTGTAAATATATCTGATATTCAATACTAATATATTGATCTGTATAATTACAATTGAACAGTGATAGGGTTAGTGATGTTTATTGCCCAGTTTCACACTGGTTAGAATACCTCTGAAATGTTGTGCTACAGAAATATAAACCTTCAGATTACAGTAGCACCTAACTGTTTTTGCAAGTAATAAAAGGCAACTGGCAGGGCAAGTACTGGCAATGTCTGTTAAACACAGCATTATATAAAAAAAAAACCCCAAAAAAGCATCAAATGTTACACTAAAAATTCCTTAATGTTACATTGTCATTTGCGCTGAATCTTGGAAACCCTCAAATGATAGATGAGAAATATTTAGATTCACAACTATCAAGATATAATCAACTATAAATGGCTAAACTCTTCCACTAAACAATGAAGTATGAATGTGCTTAACAGTAATATTTAGTACCTCATTGTATACATTTTACTGTACAAGGATTTAAAACATTTCTTATGCAAAGTGCGGCTCTGATTTAAATGACTTGAGCCAGGAATCATTGTTTACACATGTTTAGATCAAAGCAGCCCTTGCTTTACACACAATGGGAAAGCATAGTTCTTGAAATTTTACCACAATGGTTGTAAAATTCTATAAACAAACCACACAAAAGCCGAATAGTCTAAACTATAAAACAAGGAATTTTATCTCTACATAATCCCAATTGACAAGGTCACAACTGACTGAAGAACTACAGAACGAAAACTGGGAAAAACCCAGCAAAAACAAAAAAGACCTTTACAGTGATTAGTGACCTAAAATGTATGTAATACTTTCAATTTGCCAGCAACAGATAATCCACACGAATGCAACAGTCACTAGCAACCAGTAAGACGCAAAACATTTTCATAGGTTGTACGACAATAAAACAAATCAAATTATGTATATAGTGTTAATACTGTGATATTATAAAGTGCAGAATAATCTGTGCCTTTAGAATGTTCTAAAATATGATATTAACCAAACAGGAAATGTAATCTGGAAGAGTTGGCCCCAATAAAATGCTGTCATTGACACGTCATTTGCTGAGATTCCCACTTAACATTAAGTCAACCCCTTCCCCCACAAAGTAAATAAATGCAATTTCCTCTCTTTACAGGTAACAGTAATTCAGGCAATAGCTTGCTACATGAATGCACTCACATTAAAAGTTCCCTATCAATTGTTAATTATGTACCATCTGATAGAATGCATATAATTTGACAACTAATCTAAATACATTAAATACCAGTAACTCACATTCACAGTTAAGAGCAAAATTATCATAACCTAACTTAAAATGTGCTACTTGCTTTGTTAATCATAGGTTAACATTTGTCTGTAAAAATCAAACAACTTTGCAGTTCATTTAAATGCCTTTTTTAATAATTTGCTTCATGTTCACAGAAGTTCCACTGACCAGTTTTATATGTTTAAGGTCCAGATGCAATGCATATTGTATAAAAGAGAGCACTTCTTAATAGTTTTACCTTGCATGAATAAACCTATGTACCTTTTAACTCTACAGACTTCTGCATTACATTTAACAAAGCTCAGACACACAGCATGCCTAGCCCTCATATATACACATCTCTAATCACAGGTATATAGGGTGTCAAATATACTATAACCTCCGTATAATGTTTGAAATTTGGTAACAAAATGAGAAAACTAAAAATATTATTTACGTGTTCTTCTAAAATATCTCTCATTTTGTGCTAAGTCAAATGTTAGCTCACATGAAAAGGACTTATTTCATTATAATTCAGCATATTATCTGACGATTGCAAACACTTTTAATAGCTTGAACGTGTACAAAAGTCTTGGTTAATTAGGGAAATAAACACTCAGTTTTTTTTTTAATCAAGTAGGAAACACAGTTCATAATGTTATTACTTAGCAGCTGCTTACGGTTTACACGGTTGATAAGTGGACGAACATCCAGCGATGGGTGACAAGTCGAACTGTCAGTTGTGGAGGTTTGGTGGGTGGTGCTCCCTCGTAGTTAAACAGTTACAGTTTTACAGGAAGTGTTTTTTTTATTACAGTTTTATCAGTCTTCCTCCCCATCATCTCCGGGAGCTTCTTCTTGCTGTTCAGATCTTTTCTCCCGCTGTCTCTCCTGTATTTTCTTCATCTCCTCTGCGTATTTACTGAAAGTATTTCCAAACTTGGCCCACACTTTGTACGGTATCGTGATAGAATTGCGGTATGATGGTTTCACCTCACTTACTCTCATAAAAACGCCATACTTGTTTGACCCAACGTCAAAGAAAAATCGTTTGTTGTCCACAGTGAGAGATGTCCCTTCGGGTAACTCAGTGGGTTCCTCTTCGATGCCATAATCGTCGATGAGTTTAGCGAGTGCATCACGGAATTCAATCAGCCCCTGAGCGGGAAGGGCGATAGTCTGACCCTGCGAGCCAAGGCCGTGTCCCCGGTTCACGGTTTGGCGGATCCGTAGGAACCGGCCTCGCTGGTTCTCTTTTAAATCCATGTAATATTTGCGGTTTTCCCGCACCAAGAATTCACTTTTCAGAGCTCGCCTCGGCTCGTCCGTCTGCATGTCCGGGTTACTGGGGCCGAGCTGTGCGTAATGTTCGATGAAATCGCCCAGGTAGTCACGGAACTCCACAGCAACAGACATCGAGAGAGTTAGGCGACTTTTATTGCCTCCTGCTCCCACCTCCGCTATCTTCAGAAAACGGCCTTTGACATTCTGCTTCACGTCCAGGTAGAAGCGCTTGTTCTGAATGTCCACTCTCTTGGAGGCCAGTTCCTGCGTCTCCTGCTGCAGCTGCTGCAAGCTCGAGCTGATCGCCCCCTGCTCGCTTCCACTGTCTCTATCCGCCATGATGGTAGCCTTCTTCCAAACTCCCAGCAGCCGGCGATCTCGCGAGACTGCAGCAAGGGAGGAGACATTTCGTTAGAGCCGCTCTCATTGGTCAAGACCGTCAGAAACCCCCGCCACCCGCCAATCAGCAGTTCCTTTACAAGCTCCCGACCTCCCAGACTGCCTCCAACTGCTCAAGTATCGCAGCAAAGCAGCTGATGTCTGCCCTCGACAAAGTGAGACATTGAACACCGATCAGAAAGGCTAAAGTGATGGGACAGCGTTTGCTTCCCCCATTCCACCACCATAAGCATTTTTCATCATTCCCATTTCGCAACCCTAGCTAATTGTCCGATGCAAGTGAAAGTCTGCCAACATTAAAACATAATATGCTAATTTTGTAATAGGTGTTTGCTATCTGACAATTAACGCGATTTTGATAACCATTCAGATTCAACAAACGCTGAAGCATAAACACATGAGAAACATAATGCGACTTATGTTGTTATGGTGCATATAAATAACTATACTTGATAAGCAAAATGGCTGCATTCCCCAGCAAATGCATAAAGCTATTACATATATAGTAAATAAATCAATAGCACTTCGTGTGTTGGGAGTGACACTTCAACTAATCACTGATGGTATTTTGTTTTGCACATGAAATATTTTGCACATCTTAAGCCAGGCTATAATACCAGACATTGCCTTTTATCAAAAACTGCAAAACCATCAAGAACATTCAAATTAGTAGACTACATTTTTCCTGTTTACCGTAAATGTTTAAATATGGAAATACAGGCATTCACCTATTATACTCCATTACCTTCACAATGAACTGTAACCTTTTCACACAATTCATTAATTGTATACCCTTCCACGATAATTTGCCAAGAAATTACATTACAGTGAACAATTGCTTGCATATTGTGTATTTGTTTTCACTGAACTTGGCGTTAATGTGCAATAATTGTATTTATCATATATGAAGTGTCATCCCATGTTCCGAACAAATCGCATTTAATACATTAATTTGGATTGAAAATCAACATCTCGAGATACATGCTAACGTTCGACATAATACTAACGATGCTACAAAAATATAACTGAAGAAAAGCCTAGAGGCGCAAAATTGTAAGGTGATTATCCTTCTCGTCATGTTTACATATTGTTTGTCAAGATGAAATGTAACGAGAGTAGTTAAGGATTTTCAAGATCTTCCAAATAATTCAATATAAATATTTACATATTCTATTAGATAGTTCATAAACGTATGATCAATATGAATCTTAACTTTTATGACATTTCTTCAAACATACCCTAAATACTAGAAAGCACCGCCTTCTCAATATTTTCATGGTTAATACAATACGTAACATCATCTGCATTTCACGAAATGGTCCTGGAAATGATCCTAACCGCTTGCGACTCAAAGAAAAATCGACAGATTATAAACTTTCACAAGAAGGGCATCAATAACTAGAAATACTAATTTCGATAAAGTATGTTTGTGATTAAAAGTAACAAAAATACTGTTGTATGTCATCGTCATGCATCAAAATCTATATATCCGTAGTTCGCACGGGGCTCCAAATGTTCACAGAACATTACATTTATCAATTTTATTTTCTAAGCCCAAAGTGTAACTACACAAACAAATCTGATCTCTATTCCATGAAATGAATTGAAGTTTATATGTGATTAGTTAAACAGTCATAATAATGCTACATTTAAGGAGGAAAGGGTGCCTTGTATACTTCGTTTGCTCTTGTTAGATGCGCGAATATTTTACTCCCTGTAGTTAGTTATGGCAAATCAAATCAAAGCCCAGATGACAATCTATGTTGCATAGTTTCAGATTAAATTATTCAATATGCTAAAACATTACCTTTTTCTCATTTCAGGTAACTAATTTCTTTACTTTTAATAAAATAATGTATTTTGTATTTATCCCAAGAGAAAACGCTGGTGGGTAAGGGCTTCGCCATCACCGCACTTCAGGCATCACACTCTGTGGGGCAGTATTGATGGACCAGTTGGTTTTCTCCCTGGTTGTCACTTTCGTATGTTCGTACAAGTTTGAAGTTTAAATGAGTACGTTAACGCGATTTGAAACTAAATTGGTTAGGAAAGGGCGCAGGTTTGAAATCAGACCGATCGGGGTATTGGTCAAAATGCATTTCTGCAAACGCTAAAGCTCGCGGTTGATAAGCAACAATGAACAAAGTTTTCTGAGGGGAATTCGGAAAGTCTGATTTCTACACTGCAGTTAAATTTCTCAATTATACTCACATAAGAAATCACTGTTTTGAATTTACATCAGATCCAAATGGAATATACGTCTTAAAGAAGCTTGTGAAACGAATTACCGGCCATCTGGAATGATTTTATTTCCAACAGCGGAAACGAAATTATTCAAACTCCAATGCTTAAGCAATGTCAAATATTCCCATTCAAATCTGTTATTTTGCAACGGCTTATTTTACTTCAGATAACATCTGCAGCATTTATAATTCATTCACCCAAAACCTAAGGCGCGGATGATCGGAACTCCCGTTCCGTTTGTAATTTATTCATCAATATACCCGCTGATGGGAAAGTTCTTTCCCTTTCAAAACAATTTAGTTACTCAAAGTGCTAATATTAGAATGATTTAAAATTGGCATCTTTTCATCTTTAAATTGATTACTGTTGATTTCCTCACACGGACAGACACAGAATTTTGCAATGAACAAGGGGTCTTCACAATACCCTTAACCGGCAATCAGAATGACCCCTTCATTCTAAATAGATTCGATTAAATAATGCGCCCAAACCACTTCAAGCTAGACAACGCAATTATGATGTCAGGAATGTGTTTTGCTCTCCTCTAAATTTATGGGGCAACATTGGTACAAGCAATGAATAGGCTACAACGACAAACGGTTACTTTTTCCAGCAGTACTTTTCTCTACAATTCGCCCAACTGATCCATTCTTTCAACTTCATTCTGACGAGAAACTTAGTTTCATCCACTGCAGGGAACGAACATTTGGTGCAATTTTTACTGTTGACAAATTAAGATAGAATTGTCGCCTAGATGTCCCCTTACTGAAAATCTTAACTGCTCTTAGTTGCTGAAAAGAGTAAGAAATATGAGGTTTATCACTACTTTAAGACTTTGTATTCATAGCTTTATTTGAGCGTTTTCTTATCACAAATCCCTCCGCAAAAGATTTTGCGTACAAACAACATAAAACTCTGATGTAGTTGCTCGAATTTATTATCATGATGACATCAAAACAGAAACGCTGGACATGCTCATCAAGTCTGGCAGCATCTATGGAAAGAGAATCAGTTCATGTTTCGAGTACAAGATTATTATTATTGGTCTCCAGACATTAATTTTTCTTTCCACAGATGCTGCCAAACTCGCTCAGCATTTTCTGTTTTTATTTCAAATTTCCAATATCAGCAATATTTCGCATGGGTTATTTTCAATATGTTACAATAACATCAGCACATTTTTGTATTCACTCGTGGGACTTGAGTGTCGCTGACTGGACCAACAGTTATTGCCCATCCCTAGGTGCCCTTGAGAAGGTGGTGGTGAGCTGCTTTCTTGAACCTTTGCAGTCCAAGTACTGTAGGTAGACTCACAATGATGTTAGGGAGGGAATTCCAAGACCTTGACCCAACTACACTGAAAGAACGGCGTTATATTTCCAAGTCAGAGTGATGAGTCGCTTGGAGGGGAACTGGCAGGTGGTGGTGTTCTCATATATCTGCTGCTCTTGTCCTTCTAGATGGAAGTGGTTGTGGCTGTGGAAGGCGCTGTCTAAGGATCTTTGTGAATTTCTGCAGTGCATCAAAGAATGGGCATCACATTCAATTTGTCTACTAGTCAAATATACAATTTTGTGGAAAGTTTTTTGCAATAAATAGTGCATTTGAAAAGTGTGAAATAGTTTTAAAAATAGATTATCTGTAAGATATGGAGAAAGGTAAACAGTATTTCCCTTGACTTGCAAATAATGTACTTCAAAATAATCGAGTGAAAAAACCATTGCTTTCAAATGTTTTAAAATGAGGCTGTTTAATCTATTTAAACTAGCAATCATTAAGCTTAAGGTTTTGTAAAAGCGTCTACAAATTACTCCTTAGATAAGTACCTCTAAAGACAAACAGCGGGTACAATTTTTCGAGGACAGTTTTATAAAGTTAAGTTCCTTAATCACAGTATTCTTGAGGTATGAACTTAAAGCATACATGCGCTTTATACACTACAATCTAGGGAATAAAAATCCAAATAAAAATTATACACTACGCCCTTTAAACCCTGAAACCTCCTGAACAAGTTATATTGCTTTGGAGTTGGATTTTGTGACTTAGAAAGATGGTTTGTCGTCGACGCTTGACCAAAGTGCACACGCGATGATAGCTTATCTTTTCCGCGGGAGACAATGTAAGTTAACGTAGAGCCAGAGAAGTCAACTTCGGGGACTTTGGTTATAGAAATGTGACCAACACCAAAAGCAATCAAAACTCGTTTTCAACAATAATTCCTGAAGCCATTTATGTTAGTGTTTTCTTAAAGAAGAAGAAGCCAGGCGAGTTGATGCGACGATTATCTGCATCTTTACCTCTTTGTGTGTCTATAATCTGTGTTTGTAAACTTTAAGGGAACACACTGAAGATAACGCTGAACGCGCTTTCCTATTTTAAGTGCCACATATTTCTCACTCCAGGTTTTTCAAACTGGTTTACTTCCAACCAAAATTAGTAAATCAGTTACTACAAACAGTCTCACAAGTTAATTACCAGGGTTTTCACAGAAAGGCGATAAATGGTTTTGCTCTGTTTGTCAACTGCTAATCGAAATCTTGAACAACGTAATGAAAAAGGCCCATAGGTTATCGATAGCTTATATGTTTTACCAAAAAGGCATTTTAATAGATTCCAATTAGATTGCGGTTTTATTCATAGAGGTAAGATAATAAGCTATTTCGCAACTAAATAGGATAAATTATAGCCAAGGCAAAAATAATGACTAATATTTAAGAGATCAAAAATTCAGCAGTTATCTGGATATTTCACAAAATCTGTTTTATTAAAATCTGCAATCAAAGTACTATAAGAATTTGCTTTTAAGTCCAAACCATTTCTCTTAAAAAGAGACAGAAACCTTTTTTTTTCTAAAATGCAGAATGATATTTTTATATTTCTTATATTGACAGTCTATGAATCATAGCACAATACATTAACACTAAACATTCATAGGCATTTCATTGAAGCAGAGCTCCTTCCACCAATAGGATGGGACTTTTATAACCCAAAACTGAGCTAGTAATATTATTGACAATATAGCCCCCTTTAAAGAAATGAAGGAAATGTATAATACGCACTTGACATGCAGTAAAGATTATTAAAATAATAAACAAGAGGGCTGCGACCTTACCCTGCAGCTTTTCTGCCCGCAGACTTTGCAGATCTAGGTGTGATTACCTGTCAGAACTATGATGGCCGAACAGTGAAGTGCAGTTTATTAGGAAGGCCTGATCAGAGTGCTGCCACCTTGGCACAATCGATGGTGAGAGAAGAGAAAGCGACTCGTCTCACGACATCACGTTCTCCTGCGTCCGACACGGTCTCCAGTACGTCAGGGCAACGTACTGCATAGGCCCGGAACTTTCACCAGGAATCGGGGAGACAGAGGAATATCTGCTGTTCTACTTAGAAAGTCATTTGTACCGAGACAAGGATATATTTTTTCTCCCCATTCGCTCAACGTAACGGTACATTCGTATGTTTTTTTTCTGCAGAGGGTGAGAGTCCGAACGCAAATGGAAAGTAGCTACCGTACTGCAATTCTCTCGTGGAAGTCGCCATAGTACTCTGCTAGCAGTGCAGCCAAACCCGCAATTAAATGGTTTTTCATTCTGCAATTTCTTGATGTGAGCTATGCAGTGTTTCTGATAACCTCGCAGGTGCCTCGAGGAAGTGATTCTCGCGTGTTACACACAAGAAAACTAGCATTTATAGAGTTGTGAAATGTACCATTTCTAGTACTATATAGTTACAATGGAAACTGCCAGAGGGGGAAGAAATGACAATATTGTAATTCAGCCCCAAATTGAGGGTCTAAGTTGTTGACATATGGTAATAGCTTTGAAAGCTTCTGGAAATAATTTTTCAGTTTAACGTATCAGTTACCACAATCTCTTTTGTGTTGATCCCCCTGCGCATTCTTGTGCCTGTGCAAATTCACCAAATA